TCTCCTTTACATTCAGTGGTTAATAAATCTACCCACTGGCCCTACGTCTGCCATCTAGGACCACAGAAAACAAGCACAAACCATCACCTTCCTCGTGGCAACTTTTCACACTTTTTTAATGGAAAGCCATGACATCCTCTTGAGATTTCTTTTCTTTAGGATACACATGCCTATGTTGTTTTGGCCATTTTCTCCTGAGATTCATTTATTACTTCAACAGATCTTTACTCAGTGCCTACCATGTGCCAGGTATATTTAAGGCACTGGGAATACAGCAGTGAATAATAGGGACATGAGTCCCTGCCCCATGGAGCTTACCCTCCATTAGCGGAAGCTGAGAAAGCAGGATATACAAGTAATACACATGCTACGTCAGATGGCGATAAGAGCTGGAAGAAAAAGTATCTATCTCAGATAGAGGTTGCACTTTTAGACAGGGTGGCCAAAGAAGGTCTTATTGAGAAAGTGACACTTGAATAAACATCTGAAGAGCTGAGCAAAAAAGCCATGTGGATTTTAGGGCATGAGCATTCTCGGCAAAGAAACAGCAAACATAAAAGCCCAAATAGGAATCATGCCTGCAATGTTCCAGGCACAGCAGGGAAGCCAGTATGGCTGGAGCAGAGGGGTAAGGAAAAGAGCAGTGAGACAGGAGGTCAGAGCCGCAGTGGGGCAGGTCACACGTGGGCCTGGGTCATGGTGAGGACTTTGACTTTCACTCCGAGTCGGGCAGGGAGCCCATGGAGGGAGCCACTGGAGGGAGCCAATGGAAAACTGACATGACTTGTCTTATGAGGGGTTTTTCTGTTTTGTTTAAACTTGTTTATTTAATAAATTCATGAAAATGTGTTTATTCAACCTTCCAAGAGCATGGCTAATGATATCTACCTATTTGTGATTATGAATAACGGTGATTATGTGAAAAACATAATCAGGACTTCACAGCATAGAGGTGCACTGCCAAGAACTAACCATTTAGATTGCCCAAGTCCTTCTGTTAGTTTGTGATAGCAACATAGTGAGCTTGCTATAAAGAATAATGCTGCTGTTATACGATGTTGTTCTTATGCTTTAGTGGGATCCGTCTGGCTCTACACTGAGAACAGAATGAAGTGAAGCAAGGGCAGACATGGAGAGACCAGTTAGAAGGCCAGTCCGATAATTCAGGCAAAATCCGCTGATGCTTTGGACCTGGGTGGTAGCAGGAGAGGTGGTAAGAATCTGGTCTGGTTCTATTTTGCTGATGGACCTAGAGCAAGGGCTAGCAAGCAACAGTCCACAGGCTATATCTGACCCACTGCCTGTTTTTGTAAATAAAGTTTTATTGGAACACAGCCATGCTCATTTGTTTACATATTGTCTACAGTTGCTTTTGTGCCACAGGGGCAGAGAAGAATAGCTGTGGCAGAGACCGTACAGCCTTCAAAGCCAAAAATATTTACTAACTGGCCCTTTACAGAGTTTGCTAACCTCTGATCTAGAGGATGAGGTACAGAGAAGACATAATGTTTTAGGTTTAAGTAATCAGAAAAAATGAGTTGTCATTTATTGAGACAGGGTCCTAGGAGAAGAAAGATGTGAGGAAATATCGGGAGCTGAGCTGATTTTGGACATGTTAACTCAGAGACGCTCATTAGATGCTGTACAACTCTGAGGTTCAAGGAACAGGGCTGAGCGGGAGATATAAACTTAGGAGTCATCAGATTAGAGACAGTAGTTAAAGCCAGATACACTCAATAGGAGAATAAACCTAGATGGAGAGGATGAGAGGTTAAATGAGCCCTGGCACTCTAACATTCAGAAGTCAGGGAAATGAGAAAGACCCATACAGAGAACTAATAAGGAACAGACGGAGATAGGATGAAAACCAGGGGAGCGTGATGTTCTGGAAGGCAAAAGAAGAAAGTGTTTCAAGGAGAAGAGGGTGAAAGCCACATCAAATGAAGCAGATTGGTCAGATCAGACGGTGACTCAGAGCAGACCACAAGAGGCCTCACCTGACTGGAGCTGATTCAGCAGAGGGTGCAAGGATAGAAGGAGACTGAGGACAGGCAACTCATTCCAGAAGTTTTGCTGTGATGGAATGCAGAGATGTGGGGTAGAAGCTGGCAGGGGAAAATGAGATCGAGAGAGTTCCTTTTTATTTATTCCCATGATGGGAGAAGGAACGGTATGTATAATGGCTGGTAAAAAAATAAGTTTTTGGGCCCAGCCCCGTGGCTGAGTGGTTCAAGTTCTGTCCACTCCGCTTCAGTGGCCCAGGTTCGCGGGTTCGGATCCTGGGCTTGCACCTACTCCACTCACCAGCCACGCTGTGGTGGTATCCCACATAAAAAACAGAGGAAGACTGGCACAGATGTTAGCTCAGGGCTAATCTTCTTCAAGCAAAAAAAAGGAGGACTGGCAACAGATGTTAGCTCTGGGAGAATCTTCCTCAGCAAAAAAATAATAATAAGTTTTCCACTTGAGATGGAAAAGCTGATGAAGCAGGAAAGAGACGGGAACCGCTGAAGCAAAGGCTCTGAGTAGGTGAGAGGAGACGGGATCTAGGGCTTAGACTTTGATAAGGGCAGGGACAGTTCAAGCATCACAAGAACTGGCCACGCATACAGGGAGGTAGGTAGGTGGATGCAATGGTGGGAGCTTACGGAGGTTCCCTTCTGCCTGCATCTGTTTTCTCCATGAAACAGAAGGCAGGCCATGAGCTGAGAGTGTGCATGGAGAACGAGGAGTTGCAGACTAGAGGAGAAGGTATGAAACAGATTAGCAGAGGGGGAGAGTGAACCGGGAAATATGGTATAATTTCTGACAGTATTAAGAGTCCACCTGAGTCTGCGATCATGAACCTGAAACAAGACAGGTAAGCATGGTTCTGGGTTTTTCTCTAGCCTTGTTCCACTGCATTAGACAGAGAGTAGGCAGGGAATAGGATTTAAGACCAGGATCATGGTTTAACCAAGCAAATAAGACAAAGTGAAAGAGAAGTGAGAGAAGGGAGTGACAATAATGACTGACTGTGGAGTTTAAGCAGGGTGAGGGGGGAAATGAGGACACAGAGGGAGGAAGGAGTAAAGAAAGTGAAAAAGTGATGGAATCAATGGATTGTAGCCCCCAGTGAACCTGAAGGATTACTGGATTTGGGCACAGAGAGGGTGAGCTAGAAAGCTGAAGGTGGTGGTTAGAAAGCCATTGAGATTGAAAGGTCTAGAGTGTGACCATGACAGTGAGTGGCTGAAGTCAGGTGGAAGACAAGGAGGAAGGAAAGGAGCTCAAGAAACTGAGAGGTCAGAGTCCTGGAAGGGTCATCTCTGTGGCTACTGAGATCGTCCTAAACTAAGACAGAAATGGTGTTGGAGAGAGAGACAGTGGACAGAATGAGGCAGGGTGAGCGGGTTCAGAGGACAGCTGCTACAAGGAAGGGGAGCAGGGAGAAAATCCATGTGTTCTTGTGGAGGAGGAAGGATGGTGTCGAAGAGGAAAAGAGAGCAACAGAGGAAGAGCACAAATTCAATATGAGCACTAAGGGGAAGGGACCTTCACAGAGCAGGATTTTGCTGCTGACTGACCACGAGGATTTCAGATCTGGGGAGGGGTGGAGGTGGGGTCAGAAAGTTAAAGGTAACAGGCCACATAGAGATTAGAGACTGAGGATAAGGGATGAGGACCTGGGAGACCTGGTGGCTGACATAAGCAGGGATAAGGGGCATGCTGAGATTATTCCTGGTGGTCTCAAAGAGACACCGTGCTGCAACCAGGAGTGTTGAAGGGCTTGCCAGGAGCATGCAGAGCGCCGGGTGTCCTGCTGACCTGTGCTGATGCAGTGAGATTTTAAGCCCCTCCCCAACCCACTAGCTCTCTCCTGGACAATTTCCAGCATTCCAGCTGGGGCCTGATCATGGTGAGACAAGTAGCACTGTCTCCAAGGAAAAGGTAAAAACAATTAGAATCCTGAACTCTTCCCCGACCAGAAGATCATCACAGCTTCTCAAAGAAGGTGTACAGAGAAGATATTTCAGGCAAGGCATTGTTTATTACTAACTTGATGTTTTGGCCAGAACCTCTCTCACTTTTATAATTAACAGAATTATGTATAAACATTTATGTTTACATGGGGAGGAGTCGACAGTGATGCCTAAAGAGAGTTATAGTAACAGAAACAGCAAATACTTTTAATTGACAAGTTATCCTAGATCAAAAAGATAGATTATCTGGAAGGCGACTAAGGGAGACTGCATTAAATGACTACAAAACTAACAATCATATATTAAATTATTAGATGATGATCAACATAGGTCTCCTAATACCTGCTTTTTCATAATTAGAATCTTAAGTAATTATAATAATAAGGATAATGATTATTATGTTTGATAGAAAAGTTCACTTACAGGAAGGACAGATTTTTTCAAATATAGTTTGAGTCAATATCGTTTCCCAACAAAAATAGCCCTGGATATCAACCATGAGCTCATTAATTATAAAGAAATAAACCTTTACAATAGCTAACAATTGTCAATGAGACAGTTATAAAACATCACATCAGGTGAACTTTTATATCCTGAAAATATAAAGCAAGAGTTAGATACCAATGTAGAATGAAGATAAGGAAATCCATAATTAGAGGCTTGTTATTTTGACCATTGTTTCAATCTTGCATTTTCAGATTATTTTATCTTAAAAGAAAAGTATCAACCAAACTCAAAAAATCAACAGAACCAAATTTAGTCTTAATCACCTTACTATCAGAGATAAGACCTGACTCTGTTTGAAAAAAAGGACAAAAGTTATACAAAGGAAAACAATTAGTTTTAACAGATTATTATCATAATGAATAGACATTAACAAAACATACTGTAATCATCTTAGTATTTACCGCTTGCAGGATTTTTAAAAGTTGCTTTCCAATTCATTTTATCCTGTTGTGGAAACAACACAACTGTAAGTTTAACAGAAAGCTATGATTGGAATTATAAACGCATCCCAGGTATGAAGGTAAGGCTTACCTGATGCACCTATTGGGGAGGTAGCTGGGGTCATGTTGTGGACATTGAGACCAAGACTCTGGGAGGGGCCTGGGGCTGATGCTGCTATAGGAGGCCCCGGAGGGTTCTCCCTCTGGGGAGAGGTGAGTGGGGTGGTCGGCTGGGAGGTCTGTCCACCAGCAAGTCGTGCAAGGCGCCTCCGTCGGATCTACAACATGAGGGGAAAAGGACATTCTATAACTAAACAGAAGAAACAATTCTGCCTGAGAATAACGATAACATTATCAATGACCATCAATAACCACACTAGAGCTTAACAACTAAATCTGCCTGGAGAAAAAGAACTCATTTGAGACAAGTAATAACTCAGTGTACCAGTATTTTTACAAGTACCACCTCACACTTTAAAAACCGCATCTTAATTGCCTTATCATCTCTGTTTATCACACCTCCTTGACTGATACTATGAATTTACAAGAAGCATACTACACTTTTAAACACACCAAAGCTTGTTATTATTTTAATAAAACTACATAACTTGGTCATTTTAAATAGGTGAAAATTTAAAATAAATATCCAATTTAATTCACTAAAACAATGAGAGAAAGTAAAAGTTACACTAAGACAAATTTTGCTATCACTTTCAAGAGCAACAAGATTAGGTTTTTCTTACTTAATTTCAATAAAAATATAACCTCAAACTTTTTCCTTATAATTAATACCCCAGAGTTATCAAACGATTACAAATATCTACCACACAATCCCAGTGGATCACAGAACTGTTTTTCCCACATTTTGATAGCCATTAATTCATAACCAGTCAATAAACTCTCATTGACCACCTGCTGTCCCAGGCAGTGAGGATACAGAACAATTATGATAAGGCTTCTGGTTCTAAGTTGGCATCAAAGAAGCAAACCAACTTGGTTGCTCACACTCTCCATTATGAATAAGGAAGATGAAAAAGTTAAATTACAACAAATGCTAATGGGAATGGACCACATCTGAACTAAGAATCTGTCGTTCTAACATTGTAGAAAACCTCCTCCTTTTATTGTTCAGACAGCAAATACATCCTGATTCTTGACCCCAAAGTTCAGAAGCCCCTCCTTGTGGCGCTGCTGCAAATACATCTATCAATGAACTTACACAAAATCCTTAAGCTGTTTGGTTGTTCATCTATCTACTTAACTTGATTAAATCTCTTGACAGAAAGGATTAGGACTTATTTTTTTTTCCTTTTTTTTTTATTGATGTTTTAATGGTTTTTAACATTGTGAAATTTTGGGTTGTGCATTTTTGTTTGTCCATCACCATATATATGACTCC